AAAGAAGAGTGCATGATGCGGCAACCTTATACGAATCACGATATGAAGAGTTTCAGTAGAATTTGAAAAGAGGACCATCGACTTAGCCTCGAAGATTGTTGGCCAACAAAACGAGAGATAATTGGTGAAAGTATAAATAGTTACAATCTCCAAATGGGATTGTAGTATTGTACTGTAAAAGTGAGCCTCCCAAACGTATACTTACATCCAACAAAACTTACTTGCAGGTTTTGGCGTCCAGTACATCCAACAAAACTTACATTGTACTGTAAAAGTGAGCCTCCCAAACGTATACTTACATCCAACAAAACTTACTTGCAGGTTTTGGCGTCCAGTAATTAAATCTCAAAAAACCAAATTTGTAAGCATAATCACCACACCCATCTAACAGCATATATCAAATAACAGATGACAGTCAATGTTCCAGAAAATGCAGAAACAATATAAGAAAAGGGCGACTCCAAGCCAACAAACATCACCGCTTTGTGAGGGTTGGGGAAAATGCATAAACAATATAATTTCATAAAATGGACCTTTACTTTAGTCGTCAGCAATCAATCACGGATTATATTGTTCTTTGCAGTCATTACACACACATCTACTAATTCGCATTGAAATAAACATACAAGGACAGTAGAAAATAAGAGAAATATATAGAACCTTTTTTTGCAAGCTCAGACGATGAAAAGCCTGTAGAAGTGATCAAAAGCGAGAGAAACTGGCCCAACCCCAGACTCACCAGTGTCTTCTTTACCCAAAAATCTTTAAACCTCATCATATTTGCCATAAAAAATCCGAGAAAAACCCAAATTCAAAGGCTTTCATTGAACCCAATACACTGCCGAGCTAAATGTGTCGAACAGTAGAGTGGAAAAGCTAAAACTCAGAGACCAATTTGCAGAAACTCCGCTCTTTGAGTGTTAATGGCGTTTAAAGGATGATAATTTACTGAATTTCGAAAACCCAAATACTAATGGCAGATTTTGTGTTTGCGTACGACTCAAGAACTCAATGGGAAGGGGCCTTCAGCCTCGGGGAAGAAAGAAGGATAATACAATGAATGTATGAATGAATGAAAGGGACTGTGAAATCGAGGTTTTACCCGAAGCATAGAGTTAACCGACGGCTCGGCTGATTGAACCAAATTCTACGCGACACTTCTGACGGTTTTGCTTGACAGCATCTCCAAACGTCAAAATGTCCAAATTGAAAAAGGATGCAACAATATTTTTCAACCCAAAAGTTAAATTTGATATAGTATGATATTAAGCATCGCTCACTTTTACAAAACTCAAAAGTGACCGCAATTTTAAATTTTAATTAATTATTAAATCTATTTATTAATTTTATTGATGTTTTCATCTTAAAACATTTATTAGTCTCTTCGAGAACATCAGATAAATTGAAACGATTTTAAAGCATTTATTATTGCAGTTTAATCTAATAAAATAATAATTTAATATAACATATTGAGTGAACATAAAACTTTTAAAAGATGTTAAAATACTCCATGTCAAATTTAAATGTTATATTTAAAATTTGACATGTCCAATAATGCTCTCACCCGTTGAATTTGGGAGAATGTCTGGTAATTTTTAATCATCAGCAATTCCTCATTATTTTCTTTTGGTTACAACTTTCATTTTATATAACATTTTTATTTTCAGAAAGATTATTAATGAACTATATAAAAATAAATGGTGGACTTGATAAAACTATTACAACTAGTCTATTTAATTGTTACGGTTGATTGACTAACCGAACTTAATTTCAGTTGATTTTTTTTTTTTTAAAAATGATCTTTATAGAATATTTGTAATATAAATGATTTTGATAATAAACACATAATTTTGTCAATCATTCACGAAGTGTATAAAGAAGAAATCCTTCACAATTTTATGGAGTGACGCAATGTGAATTATTGGATTTTTTAAATATAACTACACTATAGTGAGGAAATTTGGGCAAGTCGCTCAATCTATAACAAGTTAGTATCAAACTCTCTATTGATGAAAGTCGATCATAAAACTAATCACTTAATCACCTACAAATGAAAAATAATACTACTATATTATAGTGATTAAGTGACAAATAAAATTATTATTTTTTGAAATAAAGATATATTACACTAAATAGTTTAAACTCATCATTTATAAAAATCAGACTTAAAAAAATTTTGAAAAAAATGCGATTACTTATTACTAAATGACAGATAAAATTATTGTCAAGGACAAACAACATTTTGACAAATTAATTGATGTGGACTAACCGACTAAGGACTAAGGAGCATATAATAATATTATTCATTTCTTTCATGAACCCAAAAGTAATAGCTTCCAACCATTACTCATGGATATATTTTTTTGGTCAAATGTAATCATGAATATAGATGTATATAAAAAGCATGCATTATGTAACTTGTGGGGCCCTCTATCTATAGACTACATGACGACTAGCGGCAAAGGCCATTTTTGACCTAGAAAATGCGGTGGAGGTGGTCCGTGGCTGGCTGTGGTCCAAAGTGGCGCATAATGTAAAAAATGAGGAGAAAGGATTTTATGCATTGGAGGAGTTGGGTGTTTGAGTTGCAATTCCAAAAGCACAACAACACCAGGCTTTGACTTATAAAATTAGTATGATGCTATTCACATATTATTATTTTTTTTTTTGTCAGATCGAATAAATTAAAAAGAAAAATGAAAGGGTAAAAATGAAACAGAGGTGTGTTGAAGATAAAAAAGAATGTGTTGATAACGCGGTCTTTCTGGCACAGACCCGAACCCAAAACCCTTCTCGTCTCCGCCACTCCTTGTTTGAGTTGAGGTCGGTGGCAGCCCCCTCTTAATGCTTTCCTTCTTCTCCCTTTCCTTTTTATTAGCTATGCATGTGTATTGCTTTTTCGATGCTCATGGTTGTAGATTTGAGAAGTCACAGTTTTCTCTCGACTTTCTTTGTAGTTTCCCACTATTCGTCGCTGTTTTCCAGTGTTCTTCGACGTCTCCCGATATATTTAACCGTACTTTGCATTTGCCAAATCCAATCCCCATCCTGCAAGCCCCCTTCTTCAACCCTCAACATCCATCATCTTCCATCTTGTTCATTTGCTTTTACTTCTCTCTTGCCATCCCTCCCACAAACTCTCAGAGCCAAAGTTGACACACCTCTTTTGGCCCTCAGATCTAAGCCTTCCGTTCACCGCCCTGCACCCGACTGGCATGCCGAGGCCAAGCATGTTGCAACTTTGCTAAAAAAAAAACTACCGAGTCCATGGCTCTAAAATTAAGTTTAAACATAAATGAGCGGATCATTATCACTTTGAAACCAGTAAGACGAAAGTACTCAAGCACATAAACTGGGTTTCACCTCCCAAAAACCTAAGTTGGCTTAAAGAGAAGACTTATCTGCCACGAATGCTCATTGTTCACTTGCTTGCGCATGCCTTTTCTTCTTCCTCCCATCTATGCTGGCCTTGTTTCTCAAAGGCTTGTTGGCATGTGCAGCAAGTAAAAAACGATACTAATGTTGAGCATAGTCAGGTCAAGCTTCTTCCAGTGGATTGGATTGAAGCAAGCAGCATTCCATGAGCTACAAACCCGAGAAACGGATATCAAATTCAGATAATTTAAAGTGATGAATATTCGCACGAGGATATCGTATTCCATATTCGCATAGTTTAGAACTTTGGATCTCTGCCATTTTAGAAGAGATCGTTATTGAATAATGACAACTTGTACATCCAAGTGGCTAAAAATTGGTGGCTCGAATTATGATCAACATAAATACATCTATGAGACTCATAGAGTACCTTGGTGCTCTTTTGTCGTGGCTCTTAAGATTATGTGATGGCAGTCACGTGGAAGAAATGAGATAGATTCTAAAAGAGAGCGTCCTTAGACTTGAAATTACCAAAAAAAAAAAAAAAAAAAAAAAAAAAAAAAAACCTCTTTTGACTTTATAACAGCGATCTAAAACTTTCAAATCGTTGGTTGGAGACTTGAAGCATCTTATTTTTCTCAGATTGAATCCTGCATGCAATCTGACATCTGCATGAAGAACTGGAATAAGCCTAGCCTAAGATGCGTCATATGGGCACATTACTGGTAGGAATAAACACCCAATTGTGTCCTAAATATGTGCTCATTGAGAGGAACAAACACTCATGATGTTAATTTCCTCATACACATGTCAGACTGCATGCAGGTTTCAGTTTCAGAAGCATAAGACACTTCAAGTCTCCAGCTAACATTGGAAGTCTTAAATTGACGTTGCAAAGCAAAGAGAGTTTTTATGTAAATTCAAGTCCTAAGATACCTTCTATAAGAACGTGTCTCATTTTCATTAGGAGTGTGATATCCACATACCTTTTTAATTTTCGACTGTTGGATCGGATGAATTGAAGAAGATCAACGAATACAAATTATCATATATATATATATATATTTAAATGTTAGCTGCTTACTCTCTGTTCTTTTGCAGTGTGATCCTATTTCCAGTAGCAATCACTTTCTATATCACGGGGTGGTTATTCACTTTTTGGATAGCTTCTTCTCTCCAATGTATGCTCAACTTGGATTCTGAAATGCATTACTTAAACCCCATTAATGGATTGGTATATTCTAACTTGCATTAGTCATTGGTCTTGGGGTTTGACGTTGCCGAGCCAAGTATGTAGTCCATTTTCTCTCTTCCATCTCACCCTCGCTAGAGACAAATTCTGGTGCGATAATCCAACTTCAGTAAAGACAGTTTCCATCCGACTTCAGTGAAGCTAGGGTTTGATTTTCTTCAACTTGGATGCTTAATTGTCTTATTCTTAGAAAAAGGTTTTTGATTGCACGAGTGACCATATATCTTATCTAGAGTATGTAACAATAAGAAGAGATGGGAACAAAAGAGAGATCTGGAATCACTCTGGCCTTTGGCATCACAACAAGGGTGCATTGGAAATCACCCCAATAGATCAATTAGAGGCATCACAGCGAAGGTGACTAAATTTGGAATCACTCCAAGTCAACCTGTGTCTGACACATAAACAGGAAATCCAAAAGCTTACAAAGTAGCTCCTTTTTCATATATGGAATAGGAGGAGCCTCGTGCCCCATTCGTTCGAGGAGAGGAAGCTTTCTACACCAAAAAGATGCCAAAAAGTTTGAGAGCAAAAGAAGGAGCTGTCGAAAAGGGTAAACTATTTTCGATATATGGATTCGTGCTTGGATACTCCCTCCACCAGCTCAACCCCAGAGTTCTATGTATCATACCACCAGTGACTCCACCATTGCAGCAACAACAGCTACTTCGCAAAAGGCTCATGGGAATCGAAGAGTACCCCTCGAGACCTTTGCAGGTTTCTCTGAAGAAACAGTTTGAGGAAGGTGAGAAGACTCTTTCAAGTCAATATCTCGGCAACCAATTACTGCGACAATCAAAATCATCTCAGAAAATGTAGCATGTAAATCAACTGAGCGGAAAAGAAATCACTTTCACATTTGGTGGTATATCAGGGATTGTATGAAGGTTAAAGCAACAATCTAAGCTCAATGTTTGAAGCATTGAAAGACCACTGAGGCTGGGTAGGGTATGAAAGTCATTCCATGAAAGATACAAAACTTGTAAAGAAATTAGACTCCCAAGATCCTTAGGGATTGCATCATCAGCTAAATAGCACGATGAGAGATTTAATTCCCTTAGAGAGTTTAATCCCCGTAACGAATGTGGCAAATGAATACTTTCCACACCTGATAGGGATAAACGAGTGAGATTTTCAATCTTACTATGGAAGGTGGTACTTCTCTTATGTCTGTATGATCTGCTTCAAGTGTTCTCACTGATATCATCTCCCCTATATCCTCATGCAGTTCTGTGAATTCTGAACATCTATTAAGAAGAAGAGTCTCAACAGATTTCGACTTATAGAAATCCCTTGGAAGAGAAATAAGCTTAAAACAGTATGAAAGGTTCACCAAAGAAAGTCTTTTAAGATGACCAATGAAGGGGTGAATCTCGGACAAACTCATACACCATTCCAATATCAACTCTTCAAGATTTGGGACTTGTGAAAAGTCCGGTGATTTATGCAAGGAATGTGAATGGCTGAGATCAAGGGTTTTCAAGTTATGTAGCGACTGTTGCAGAATATCAAAAGAAAATTGAAATTAATATCCTAAATGAAGATGTTATAAAATAAAATAAAATAAAATTTAAAAAAAAAAAAAAAAAAAAGGAGAAGAAAAGCAAAAAACAAATAGAAACAGAACATCATCAGGTGTAATTCATTGTACCTTGGAACCCTCCCAAACTTGTACCAGTTTGCTTTCCTGCATCTCTAAAACAACTAGTCTTGGTTGATTAAAAAAGTCATCTGGTATGGACTTTAAAGGGCATCCTTTCCAACGCAGATATTTGTGTTCTCTTTTGAGCTCTACGCTGATTTGGTGATGGGATAAACGAGTGAGATTCTTCAATCCTAATATGGAAGGTGGTACTTCTCTTATGGCTGTTAGCTTTGCTTCAAGTGTTCTCAGTGATATCATCTCCCCTATATCCTCATGCAGTTCTCTGAATTGTAAACATCCATTAAGACGAAGAGTCTCAACAGATTTCAATTTATAGAAATCTCTTGGAAGAGAAATAAGCTTATCACACCACTCAAGGTTCACCAAAGAAAGTCTGTTAAGATGACCAATAGAAGGTGGTACTTGTCTTATGGTTGTATACTCTGCTTCAAGCGTTCTCAGTGATATCATCTCCCCTATATCCTCATGCAGTTCTATGAATTCTGAACATCTATTAAGAAGAAGAGTCTCAACAGATTTCGACTTATAGAAATCCCTTGGAAGAGAAATAAGCTTAACACAGTATGAAAGGCTCTCCAAAGAAAGTCTTTTAAGATGACCAATGGAGGGGTGAATCTCGAACAGACTACTACGTCCAACAATATCAACTCTTCAAGATTTGGGACTTGTGAAAAGTCTGGTGATTTTTGTAAGGAATGGGAATGGCCGAGATCAAGGGTTTTCAAGTTATGTAGCGACTGTTGCAGAAAATCAAAAGAAAATTGAAATTAATATCCGAAATGAAGACGTTATAAAAAAAAAAAAGAGAAGAAAACCAAAAACAAATAGAAACAGAACATCATCAGGTGTAATTCATCCTCATTGGGTGGTGGATGATTGACAATGTTTTAGTTGGTGGCATTGAGCTTGAATTCCTGATCATAACAGGCTAGATCAAGCATACTTTTCTGCGAGATGCTTTGCTGCTGGATGTTCATCCTTTGCATAATGTGTTCGTATTTAGATGTAAAAACTTACGTATGCCATAGGTATTTTGTAGATATAAAATTTTATTTGTAATTGGGAGTAATTTTTTGCTGGCCAATTGACATACAAACATCCATAAATACAATTAAATTGAGTCATATGTGAATGTGCAATCTTGATTGATAGAATGACTACCCATCCATCATGCCACATTATCTTGAAAGAGAACATGTCGTCGTTGCATATGACATTTCGAGCTGATAGTGCAGGCGTGAACACTGTCCATGGTTACAGTTCTGCGCCTATATAGTATGACCACGAACATAACTTTTGGAAGCTATAAGTTCCCCTACCCTTAAATTTATGATCTTGTTTACATCTGTCAGTGGTTTTCAAAACGGCTTTTTAATTCCATAAAATCTTCCATTGCCTCGGAGAACAGTGAATTCCATTGGAGCGCAGGGAGAAACTTGCCTGATAAGTGAAGCTCTTGAACCACTGTTCCACATAATTTTAAGCACCGCAAATCTTCCATTGGCTCCAAGATCTCTGGGAAGTTTTCAAGTTTGGAGCACCAAGAGAGATCGAGTTCCTCGAGATATTTCAACTTACAAATGCTCTTTGGGATATTTGAAAGGCTTCTGCAAAATCGTAATTTAAGTATTTTGAGCGCAGGGAGAAACTCGACAGATGAGTGTAGCACTTGAACCGCTGTTCCACTTAAATTTAAAGACTTCAAATGTTCCATTGGCTCCAAAATCTCAGGGAAGTTTTCAAGTATGGAGCACCAAGAGAGGTTGAGTTCCTCGAGATATTTCAACTTACAAATGCTCTTTGGGATACTTGAAAGCCTTTTGCAACGTTCTAGGTTAAGTATTTTGAGAGCAGGGAGAAACTCAAGTAATGAGTGTAGCTCTTGAACCGCTGTTTCTCTTAAATTTAAGTACTTCAAATATTCCATTGGCTCCAAGATCTCTGGGAAGTCTTCAAATTTACAGCAGCCGGAGAGATTGAGTACCTCAAGATATTTCAACATACAAATGCTCTTTGGGACACTTGAAAGCCTTTTGCAACGTTTTAGTATAAGTCTTTTGAGAGCAGGGAGAAACTCGATTAATGAGTGTAGCTCTTGAACCGCTGTTCCACTTAAATTTAAGGACTTCAAATGTTCCATTGGCTCCAAGATCTTTGGGAAGTTTTCAAGTTTAAAGCATCTGGAAAGATTGAGTCCCTCGAGATATTTCAACTTACAAACGTTGGTTGGTAGACTCACAAGTCTCGTGCAACTAACCAATGATAATTCATTTATATCCCTGGGAAGCTCAGAAAACTCGCCAAGAGATGTGCAGGAATTTATATAAAATGAACCATAAACTTTCAACTTACACCTGTTGCTTGGAAGTTTCTCAAGGTATCTGCATGAACTTGTACCCAAGTAAGAAATTTTTTCGTGAGACCAAACTGATTGGGGCAACTGCTTTATACCACTCTCAGATAAATCCAAGTATTCAATATTTCTTGGCATCTCTGGAAGATACTTGAGACTTCTGCAGCCTTGAAGATCAAGATGAGTAAGCTCGTCAAGATCTTGAAAATACCCAGGAATTTCAACCAAACTTTCACAGCCAGAGAGATTTATGGTCACAATTTTTAGACTCCCAGAGAGATTTGGAACTTCAGTTAGATACATAGAGTGAAACAGATCGATCACTTGTAAGTTCACAAGTCTCTGTAACAAGAGGAGAGAGAAATATCAAGAATTAATATAATTTCTACACTTAATTTTATACAAGAAATAGAATAGGCATATAATATACCTGGTCTTCTTGCCAAAGCTTCTTAACTCGGCTCCATGGCATATGAAGCTCAACTAGATTTTCCGGGGAAAATTTTGACGGCAAAGATTCCAGTGAATATCCCAACCAGTAAAGGTAACGAAGAGAATTGGGAAGGTCTAGAGAAGCAGCGGATTTGTTGTCTAATAATCCAAAAGTATGCCCAATAAGCGTTATTAGGTTTGACATCAGTTTGAAGTTCAATGGTTGCTTTTCACTCTCATACGTACTAAGTTCAATGGCTTCAACAATTGGAGTTTCCTGACAATAAGAACAAAGTTTAAATGTATATATCTTCAACATGGTAAGATGTAATGCTTATTTGGAAAAAGAATTCAACAAAGTTCTAGAATAATCTAGAGTATTTGCGATGGTAATGACGCACAAGTTTCGTAGTACCAAATGGCTCTTACCATCTAGTTGTACCATCACTTCTATCATCTTTCTATAGAGTGTAGGACCCATCAATGCATTTGGGTCCCATCTTTATTGGTGAGAAGGTACAAATGATGGTATAAATAAATAATAAGAATAACATTTTTGCAATAAAAATTCACTCAAATTAATTTTTTAAGAATCTGACTTCTTTATTATAAATGAGTTTTACTTTGTTGTGTTATCATCTAAAGTTTGCTATTTATTTTTTCTTAAAAACTAAAGAAAAAATTGAATGCATTTAACTCTTACCGTATTACTCTTCAGTACATGATGGACATCCTCATTCGTGAACAACCTATTCCGCTTATTGGGATCTTTAATACATTGTTCCCGAACAATTGTCATTCCCATTTCTTGTAGCGAATCGTGCATCTCTATGATTTCCCCTTTCCATTTATCTGAATAAATTGATATGAGAGACCTATCAATGAGAATTCTAATTCCAGATGTTGGAAAGAATCCACGAACATCTAACATTCGCTTTACCTCATTCACTTTCTTCCCCTTATGAAAACATGCTATATCCAGAAATATCTCCTTCTCATATTTTCCCAATCTATCATAACTTATTCTCAACACTTTCTGGATATCTTCACTGGGAGATTGTTTCAATTTGTTGAATTCATCTTCCCAGTCTTCTTTGCTCTTGCAATTGAAGAACAAGGACCCCAGAACTGTAAGAGCTAAAGGAACGCGTCTGGCATAATCCACGGTCTTTTTCACCAACTCCTCATAAGCTGTTCTACGAGTAGTGTTATCCTTGAAAGCATGCAAACAGAAGAGCTGAAAAGCGTCATTTGGTTTTAATACCTTAACCTCATAGATATTATCCTCTTTAACAGTTTGTCTAAGTGTGTCCCTATCTCTACTTGTGATAATGATTCTACCTCCATTGCCATACCTAAGACGATCACCAGCTAAAAGCTGCATTTGTATTGGACTACTCACATCATCAAGAACAATGAGGAGCTTTGTGCGACTGAGCCTATTTTGAACACCAATTGATCCTATGGATAGACCTTCTTCCCCTAATATCTCACTCAGAAGTTTATTTTGCAAGCGATCTAGTCCATCTGGTGGTTCTGATTTCTCCCTGACATTTTTAAGAAAACAAGAAGCTTCGAATTTAGAAGAGAGTCGGTGAAATATAGTTTCAGCAAGGGTGGTCTTGCCAATACCACCCATGCCCCAAATACCTACAGTGATGCAAGCGTCCTGTGAATGAATGCCCAGTAGCGATTCAATTTGCTCGATGTGGCTTTCAATTCCAACCAAGCCCTCCTCTAAATCACATGATGATTCACATTTCAAATTTGTCCAAATATGATCGACGACATTCTTAATTAGATCTGCCTCCGTCCTGGAATATATATAAGTATGAAATAGTTAGTCTTAAAGGCGTGTTGAAAAATTTGTCACGTAAATAAAGAAATATACTAAAAGGTTTAACACCGTATATTTGTGGAAAAAAAAAAAAAAATCTTGTTTTTCTCTCCTCAACTAAGTGTGCTTACATATTATAGCATTCAACCGACTATCTATTGATGAAAGTAAACTTGCCTCACTAATTAAACTGCTAACCCTAAAGAGAAATCAGATACGTTTAAATAGGGTACAACTAATTACAGAGAGACAGAGAGGGAGGCGTGCAATTGTGGGGAGGGGGAGGGGGAGGGGGAGGGGGAGGGGGAGGGAGAGTGGGAGGGGAAGGGCAAGGGAGAGGTAGAGGGAGAGATGTTGAACAGGGGCAAGTAAGACCTGTTTGTATGAGACCTGCGATTCAGTAAGTGGAAGGGTTACAGAGAGTGAAAGAGAGAAGGAGTTGTAGGGATTGCAGAGAGAGAAATAGAGAGGGATGAGTGGGTAGTCTTCTTCGGCGGTTCTGGAGAGATGAAGAAATCTTCTGGAGCAGATTCCTGAGAGAATGAGTATCCTTCTAAACCCCTCCTTTTGTTTGATGGGTTTTGTATATTTACGGGTGATACATATTTTATTGAATTTCGCGGTGTATAGACTAATGCTTAGTATTAGATGATGCTAAAAGGGATCCTTATCTTCTAAATCTTTAGCTTGCTCTACCTTGAATTTGTTTTGAGTTCTCTTACATGAGATTATCCCTTATGAAGAAGAGAACTAAATAGGGTGATTCTTATATTTGTTAAGATTTGTTCCCCAAAATCATGCAATAAGAGTACCACAGATCAAACTGTGGGCCCAAACATTTCTTGGAGGACATATATCCTGATGAATTGCTTAAACCTGATTTGGATGTTGAACCTTCTGTCGATATGCCAAGTTACCCAATTTTTAGTGTCTGTTGACATAAACCATGAAAAGCTTGGAAGCAACTGAGAGTCTCTCCTCAATAATTACACTTGTGTTCCGTCATCTTCACTAAAATGTCATTGATTTATATTAACAACTTCTATTTTTTCAATTTACAACATAGAAGCATGCATATGAGGGCAAAAAAAAATCCATGTGTTGATCAAGGAAGTTCAAAAAAGCTAATTAGTATATATGTAAGTAGAATTGTAAATATGATTGTACAATGTGTGCAGATAGAGTTGTAAATATGCGTAAAGAAAATTTATAACTCAAATTGTCACAAGTTTAAAGAAAATTTATAATATATAGTAATGCTTTACCAAATCTTAGCACAAATCAAATTGTCACAAGTTTAAAGAAAATTTACAACTTTATACAAATTAAAGAATGAGTTACTTACCCGTCTTTGTTTGAATAATCAAACCCAGACAGATCGGCTGCAGTCTTCAAAGCAGCCCTCCACTTGTGCACCTTATCAATACTGTCCTTGAAACGTTTTTCAAGTTGAGCAAATGCACCCGCATAACTCCCGTGTTGTTTTCGTACATAAGATGGTTTGATTTTGTAGAATATGGGTATAACCTTCTGGCCATATCTTTCCTTGCATTCGAGTATATGCACAAGCTCATCCAAACACCATGTGGAAGAAGCATAGTCTTTTGAGAAAATGATCACCGAATGCGTGGATTTCTCGATTGCCTCTCGAAGGGCAGGTCCGATTTCTTCTCCTTTCTGAAGTCTGTAATCTATGTAGGTTTCAATTTTTTTCTGAAGTAAGGCAGCATGAAGATGGCTGGTAATACCAAGGCGGGTGTCCTCACCTCTGAAATTGATAAACACATCATACTTTTCTCGACGAGGGGGGATATTAGCTTCAATACCATCCATCTGTTTGTGTCTCTTTTCTCGACGAGGGGGGATATTAGCTTCAATACCATCCATCTGTTTGTGTCTCTTTTCTCGATGAGGGGGGATATTAGCTTCAATATCATCCATCTGTTTGTGTCTCTCTCACACTAGAAGAAAAACTGCCATTGCACACTTCTTGATGACTGGAGACTCCTTGAATGGCAGTAATATATGTGGGAGTACATACATATAGACCACAATTGATCAAATCACTCACCTACATTTAGAAAATAGATAACCCTTACATAATGTGGCCGGGAACAAAGAATTGAGATCATCAAGCACCAACTAAATGAACAATTTAGGGACAGTAATTGCATTTATTACATACAAAAGTCTCCGGCTTCTCAGTATAATGCAATAGTTCTTTGGTGGCAGGATCAACAACCAACTGCCAAAACTGGTTCGAAGATTCAGCAGAAACTTACAGATGAACCTAAAAACAAAGTATGGCATCACGAAAAAACATGAGGAAAGAGCATCAGGAATATGGGGGAGAGTTGCAACATTATTCAATAGTTCAAGCTCTGTCAACAAACTAACCTTTATTACTAACATTGTACCCATCACCTTATATCCTTTATGAGCATCTGCAATGACGAACAACAAGAAGCAATAAAAGGAATTAACTTTTCGAAATCATATCTATAATTCCAAGCAAAAAACTTCCAGTTAACATACAGGAATACGGAACACAAAACTCACCAAGCATGTCTTAAGTAGAAAATTGCAGCAAACATCACAATTTAGCAAAAAGATATGCGACTGTTCCAGAGACACAAATACAACATCGGATTAAGCAAAATTTTATTACACACATAAGTGGAAATGGAAACAAACGAGAATTAAGCCTAGAATTCGAACCGGGCTGTCTAATAACAACGTGGTCCTTACTCCTCCTGAGTAAGTCCTTACAATATATACCAAGCAATGATCCTGAACTAAATCCATGGCCGTCCACATCCACAGATTGCATCACTGTTTGTGTATTTAATAACCACATTTTAGACCAGGTGGGCTAAAAGCCAAATTACCCTCCAAAATTTCCTCCCAAACCCACTCCAACCCAAGGGGAAATTTTGGGCTAAATGCTAAATGCTAAACCAATGCCAAATTCCCCCCAAAATTTAGCCCACTTCACCCAATATTTATCAAAATTTAAATTTTTTTAGATTAAAATGTTCATAAAATTAATTTACGATAGTCTACATATTTATTTAAAAAAAATTAATTTAACAAAAAAAATAGCCTAAGGTCATTTTTTTATAATTTCAGGCTAAAATTTTAGACTAGAACGGTTGGAGTTTCTGAGCTAAAAGCTAAATTTTCTGGGCTAAAAATTTTGACTTTTAGCCCAACCACTTACAATGCTTGCTGTGTAATATATGAAAAATAGTTTTATAAAATATTGAAGTAGTAAGATATAATCGTATAGTTGATTAATCCTAAAATCATAGAGATTTCACAAACCATTATTTTACCTTATCTCTCTGGCTACTTCGATCCTGGCTTCCTTTGCTAATTGCATGTTGCTCACTTAATTAATTAGCTGAAGAAGGTTCCACTTCCTACGACCGGAGGTGCGGCTGACTCCGAATTCGAAGGCTTCCACGACGGCTACGAAATATTGACGAGGACCTCGACTGCTCACTCCCTCTCTGACTCGCACCTGCTCTTCTCTCACAAACACCTCCTAACCCGACGCACCTCCCTCCCATGATCCCTCCCTATCAGACTCGGATCCCAACGCGATTCCCGATTCAGGCTCTACATCCACCGATCTTCCAAAAAACCGACCCACCCCCTCCCCTGATCCCTCCCTACCAGACCCGATCTTCCCAAACCTTCCTCCACCGCGTGCAGAGGGTTTCTGCTAGGAGATTCTGGCAATGATGGAGCTCGAGAGCCTCCACGATTTGTCTGGAGAAGGTAGAGAGAGAAAGGGTCAAAGGGGAGAAACAATCTGAGGGAGGCGGAGTGGAAGAGGAAAGGAAAGGCATAGAGAGATGAAAGAGAGTAAGGCTGCTTCTAAAACCGAGTGGGATGTAGAGTGTTGATCAATAAAATTAATATTAAAATATAATTGTGTCCAGACTTGAGACTTGTGAGGGAATTCACAAACTATTAAGACCATCTCCAACAATGGGCTAAATGCCAAATTTCCCCCCAAATTTCCCCCCCAAACCATCTCCAACTCATGCTAAAACATTGGGCTAAATGCCAAATGTTAAAGTTGGGCCAAATTCCCCCCAAAATTCCCCCCCCGCGCGACTGGACTCGCTGGCCCAAAGGCCAGTCTCGGCCCGTTCACTCGCGTACGCACCCCACGCGGTGCGCTTGCAGACGTTGCCCGACAGGGTGGGCCCCGCTGTCAGCGGGTTGTCGGCCACCCAGCTGAAGTCCAACGGCTATTTTTGCAATCCAACGGATGTGTTTCAAGGACCGTTGGTTGATCCAACGGTCCAAATTCAAATTTGATTTTTTAAAGTATGTTATTTTAAAATACATTGAATCCAACGGCTGAGATCAAATATAATCAAATCTAATGGTAAAAAAAAAGATCTAACGGCCCAAATTTAAATCTAACGGTTAAAATAATTAAAAAAAAATATTTAACTCAAAATTCACCCAAAAACTCTATAAATACCTATGTATTTGTTCAAACATCCACACAAAACTCAAATTTATCTTACAATTCTTCCAATTTATCTTTCCACCATTTCTTTCCATTTCCAAATTGTTCAACATGGCAAGAGAGCATATTAGAGGTCGTAATTGGACTTGTGAGGAAGATGTTGCTCTATGCTTGGCATGGGTTTCTGTTAGCGAAGATGGTGCAGTTGGCACTAATCAAAATAAGAAGGTTTTGTGGGATAAAATCATTGCAAAGTTTCAAGAAAACTGCAATGGTAGCAGGCGGGATGGTGGTGGTGTTTATGATCGATGGAAGACTATCAACAAAGCATGCACTTTATGGAAGGGAAGCTTGGAGAGAGCCGTGGTTGGCATGGCTAGTGGGAGGAGCGCCATAGAAATTGTGAGTTTTGTTCTTGATATTTTATTTGTCATGTACATAATATTATGTTGCAATTCTTCCACTCCCAATGCATACAATCGAGACTTCCTATCATGCCAGGGAAGCCTCTTTTTTCTGCCTTGCGTAGAAGCCTCTTCAAGTCTGCACGATTTGGGTTGCGGAGGTATGTGGCTCCATATATGCCTTCAATTGCCTTACAGAAGCGCTTCAGGTTCTCAATAGCAGTACTTCTGCAAGGCGGCAATACTCGTCAGTTGAGTCTGCAGAGCATCCATTAGCTAGCATGCGAAAAGCAGATGTGAGCTTCTGATGAGGTTATAGACCTTGTCGGCCGGTGGCATCTACCCTCCGTTCAAAGTATTGGTCATGATTGACAACTGCATTCAAGATGCTTTCAAAAAGCTCTCTCCTCATCCGAAACCGCCTCCGAAAATCATGAGCATGAAATCTCGGACGCTCGATGAAATAATCTTTCATCATTCGATCATGACACTCTTCTCTATCACGCTGCACATATGAACGCCCCGTGACAAAACCACGATGGCTAGATTCGCCATTGTGCTCAGATTGCATAAACGAGTTGAATAGTTCAACTTCAGCATTGAACAATTCTGCATCCTCAATCTCCATCCTTGATTGGTATTGTGCCATCTGCATTGCCATACTACGCCTTCTTCTATCACCCATTGATGAGATATTGAGGATTTTTAGGAAACAAAAACTCTTTGAAAGTTGAAAATGGGTGAATATAAAGGATGATTGAAGGTTGAAAGGTTGTGTGATCAACAAATATTGGACATATGTTTATATAGAGGATGATTTCTGAAAGTTTGGTGGTGAATGGTTGGTTGAAAGTTTGGTGTTTATATAGTTGGTGAAAGTTGAAAGTTTGGTGTTTATATAGTTGGTGAAAGTTGAAAGTGTGGTGTTCAACGGTTGGTGAATTGAAAATTTGGTGTTCAAAGTTTGGTGAATTGAAAGTTAGCCTAGGGTTGAAAGATTGGTAAAAGTTGACGGCTTGCTTTGTGGGAAATTTAGTGATTTTTCAATATTTATCGGAATTTAAATTTTTTTAGATTAAAATGTTCATAAAATTAATTTACGATAGTCTACATATTTATTTTTTTTTAAAAAAATTAATTTAACAAAAAAAATAGCATAAGTTCATTCTTTAATAATCCCGGGCTAAAATTTTAGGCCAGAACGGTTGGAGCAGAAAAGTTGTTTCTGGGCTAAAAGCTAAATTTTCCGGGCTAAAAAATTTGGCTTTTAGCCCAACCATTGGAGATGGTCTAAAGGGCACAAAACTGTTTTTTGTGCGTTAAAAAATTAATAAAAAATTATAATTACTAATATCCATAAATAGTAACACAAACTTTTTTTTTTGGTAAATTGGATTTATAACCAGGGCAAAAGTAACATGAATAAACTACTTCTGAGTGATATAGGGAGCAAAGATCGGGCACAAACCACACCATTGTATCACCCTAAATCACTTGAACCAAAACAAGATTTAAGATGGACACGGTAAACCATCCTTGTTCAATATATAAACTATCGAAGATAGAGGTCTGTCGATCCAAAGATAATCATAGTAACACAAACTTTTGAATTCAAATTTCAATAGACACAATACAGCTTTTTGTAGACACAATTTAATGTATCGTTTGGTTCAAAATGCACATTTGAAATAATTTTGTGCTCAATCAAACTTAAAAGCACAAATATATATATGTGTGCTCGCGCTCAATGAACTTGAAAAGGGCACCAATCAATTGTGTTATGTGAAATCCCAAGAATTTATTACCAAAGAAGAGAAGTATTTGAAACTTATTTATCGAATAGGTCTTTGTATGAAGATAGTAAGAATTATTATGAGCTCCTAGCATCTTGAATATTTTTTTGGATGTCAAATAACTATCTGGTTAATCATTGAGTCGATGTTAGATGGCAACCATTGAATGGCTAGGTGTGTGCCACGGGGTGACCATCCAAAATGACAGTGACCATATTACTAGTACACATGGTGGAAGGTGATTAGGTACTAAATAAAAATGTAGCGATCAATTATCACATAATGTGTCTTATTTTAGATTATTATCTTTTTCTTTAGCAACCACGTAGGTTACAGGAGGTGGCTTAACAATGCCATGCAATATGAGGTAGTGTGATGTATTAGAAGTGAATAAACAACCTAGTTGCTTAGTGTTCCAAGCTCTAAGCGGGACGTGGCTTCAAATAGCCTTAGGTGGCTGCACCATATCATTAATCCTTTATTGGGTTGACACCTTCAACTTTCCAATGAGATAAGAAGCGAACCCTTCAAGTACATCTGTAGCCAACTATGTATTTTCTATTATTTTCTTTACTCGGTTACCAAGTTCAGTAACCGACTCCATATAGTATAAATAGGATTCCCTCCATTTTAAAACAGAAAGAACGGTTGATATTTACTACCAAGTTTAGATGGCATGCAAAGCTTGAGGAAGCAACGTAGGGAAGAATAGATAGAGAGGGAAAATGTATATATTCACGTAAGTATAAATATAGAGAGAGAGATTAGAAAAATAAAGGAGAGTAGAAAAAATACTTGATGATTTAAGAGTGATCAAGGAAATTGCTTAAGTACGTGGACATCTAGCTATTCTGGTAATGACATGGATCTTTGTTTTAGCTTTGGAATCCAGATAGGGGAAATAAGGCAAACCTTAACGGAAATTGATTTTATTAAATTTCATGAAGTGATAATGTTCTGATCTTTTTGGTTGATTAATGTGGTTGAATAGTAATGGGCTAATTGCTTCAGTTAAGTGTTTACTTGTTATTGGTTATGGAATTATTGTTGAAATGTTATTCGTTAAGAATATACTATGATACATGTGGAAGATAAATTGATATTATTTGTGCATCATTCATGTTGATGTGGTAGGAATTTCAGTATTCATATTGGAAGTATGGAAATGAGGGTAGTTGGAAAGGATCTTGTGTAGTTGAATCTATTCATTGTGAAATCAGTTCCAGACGAGCCCGATGTGCACAGTAGAATAGGATATCGACAGTAATTGTCAATGTGGGTGATTTAGGCTGGAGATCAATGAATTAGATAAGATGACTAGCAAAAGGGGTTTATGAACTTGGGATATAATACTGGGGTTAGTTTCTATAATAGAACATTCGAACCACCTCTACAGGGGTAAAATGCATGGTATGGGACGTGCAGGTTCGCGCGTTTTATTATATAAATTAATGGGGATAACTGAAGAAGGTTGCATTGCATTCATGCATCATTATAATTGCTGTTTTGATATTTGGCTATATGATTTCATAACATTTAATTTAATATTATCAATTTACTATGGTAAGGTTATGTCCGTACTGAGCTGTTGAAGCTCACCCCTATATTATTATGCAGGTTTACGAACTAGACATTCAAGAGGGTAGGCATGATGAGATTGGAGTAGAGAAAGTTTATTCATTTATTTACTATAGGTTGTAAAGAATTATTGATTTGTTTAAGAATCATGAATTATTTTAATAAGAGGAGTTTATTTTCCAACCCGTGTCAATTTCCTTTCAATTATTTAGTTTTTAACTCATGTTTCAGATTCGGATTGAAGTTTGTATTATCAACTCCGGGTCCAGGGCGTGACAGAATGGTATCAGAGCATAGGTATTAGACACCCTTGGATAAGAACTGTGGGAGAAGATTAGCATGAGCCAGATAAGTTTGAATTTAGAAGACTATGTGTGATGGGTTTTGTTAGTAAAGGTTTTTGTTGGCCTCTAGTGATATGTAGAGTGTACAAATAGACTTAAATGTGAAGTCAACTTTTGCAAATGATCTTGACAACTGAATTTATATGTGGATCTTCTGAGAAAGGAAATTAAGTTTGATCCAAAAACGAAAAGGATGAAAGTTAAGCAATGCATGCATATAACTTTAAGATGAATTTTTCAGGTGAAATGGGTTTAGGAGTGACTAAAGGATGAGAGAACTTGAAATATGGAGTT